GGTGGTGGTTGCAGTGGGGGGGGGGGGCGCTCACACAATGAGGGGCTGGATGGCAGTGGGAGCAATAAGAAGCCTGACACAAAAATGGAATTATATTTTGGGTCTGGCTTCTTTCAGCCAACATTCTATCCGTTCAGTTCAGTCATGCGGCTGCATGTGGCGGTGGTTCGTTTTTCGGTTGTGTGACCTGGTCACCATTTATCTGTTCTTGATGGACACTTGGGGCTATTGCAGACTGTGCTCCGAACATCGTGTGCATGTCTCAGTAGACACAAGCGTTCATTCATGTTGGGCCTGTCCCTGGAAGTGGTACATGTGCGATAATGATTGACACTTCCCGCTGCTCCCCGCGCCGGCCAACGTGTGGGATGTCGGTCCTTGCGGGCTTAGGCATTCTGGTGGGGTTAGTGCTTTCTCACTGTAACTTACGTTTGTATCTTCCTGATTATTCATGAAGTCTTGGTCATTGTTGAAGGCTTTTGCCCATTTTTAATCGGGCTGTGTTTTTTCTTATTGATTTGGAAGAGTTCTAGATATGTTCAGGGATACAAATCCCTGATCAATTGGAAACCCAGATGGCCTTTGACCCCCTTCCTCACTTCATACACAAAAATTACATAGTCGTTGATTATAGTCCTAAACATGAACAGCAGAACAATCACGCTTCCGGACAGAAACACAGAAACATCTTCATGACCTTGGGGGAGGCAAGAACCCTTTTAGACAGAGCCCGGCGGGAGACATCAGTCATGGGAGACGGATAGATCCGACTTCATTCCGCTTCAGAATTCCTCTTCTCAGAAATACCAATAAGAGGGTGGCTTGGTTACTGTTGTCATTGCCGCATTTTTAAATTTTACTTGTGGTCCTGTTTGGAAGGGCATTCCCATCGGCGGGCACATCATCGGTTACTTGATAGAAAAGTCCCGAGTTGTCTATCAGAACCATGGGGAGCGGAACTTCCACATCTTCTACCAGCTGCTGGAGGGCGGTGAGGAGCAGCTGCTGGCCTACCTGGGGCTGGAGCGAGACCCCCAGCTGTACAGATACCTCGCCCAGGTGGGGAGCCCGCCCCTGGCTTCGGTGGCCCTTCAGAGGGGGGATCGGGGGTGTCTGTGGGCCCCTCAGTGGGGTGTCCTAAGAACTTTCTCAGATCATTCTGCAGGTAGCCCAACGACTGTTCTTCACACTTTGGCCCCAGCGTGGCTCAGTGGTTGAGCATCGACCTATGAACCAAGAGGTCAGGGTTCAATTCCTAGTCAGGGCACATGCCCAGGTTGTGGGCTCCATCCTCAGTGTGGGGTCTGCAGGAGGTGGCTGATCAATGATTCTCTCTCATCATTGATGTTTCCATCTCTCACTCCCTCTCCCTTCCTCTCTGAAATACATAAAAAACATGTATTTTAAAAAGATTTTTAAATAAAAGCCCTCATCTAGAATGTGTTTTCTTTAAATT